GAGGCCGTGACCGTCCGTCACGGGTAACGGCCGTGACGCCGTGTTGGGTAACGTCACGAGTGCGTCCCGTTGCGTTACGCTGCCGGCAGCCGAGCGCTGCAAGTGTGGGTAAACAGCCATTAGACGCGTTTCATCAGCGAGCGGCGGTGAGGTCACGATAGGTCACAGCAGGTCGCAGGTGGTCATGGAGGGTCACGGCAGGTCAGATGGGAACGCGGGTGGTCGAAAGGGGTTCGGATTTGACTCGTGGGATCCCATCAGGCAGAGAAAACTCGGCTAATGCGCCCGGCGTTATGTTATTGTAATACTGTTAATTGGTCTCAGCGTAAGCTATAAGTAGTGTCACCGCACCATTGCTAATCCAGCCTGCGTCTAACCTAACGTAACCTAACCTCACTGGACCGGGGAGTGTGGCACTGCGGCAGTGGACCGTTCCGACGACTGCCGAATTATGTGCCGTTCCCATACTGGGCGCCTTGCGTGCTGCACCAGCTGACAGAGGCACTCGCAGTTGTAAAGCGTAGTAGCCACAAACGATCCGGCATGGAACCGCACCTCGTCACTCCAGTCACGTGCTCCCGTTAGTGTACCTATCGTTGCAGGAAGACGTGCAACAACCTCGTGACTGATTAACGTGCGGCTGTGGTCGTTCGGCAATGTACCCGACCTGAGCCAGATACGACTCGGGTCATGACGCGCACCACATGTATCACTCAGCTACGACTGGCTGAGATGCCGGTCGGAGAACGCTATGTCTAACGTCTGCGCTAAGTAGAGCAGCGCTGATGATGTGGTGCACGTCGTGCATATTATTTGCGCTAGCATTATTCAAGACCGTAAACCCGTTACGTCAAGGTAAAATTGTCTGTCTAGAATCCGTCATTGACATTTTGATGGGCATTGTATCTGGACATGGGCGTCCGATCGGCGGCGGCTGCGCACATTCCTTCATGCACACCTAGCATACCGAACGTGCATTCGAGTACCGTTAGCCACCCCTTTACTGACCGCTACAAGGCTACTGATGACGCAAAGACCATTAAGCTCATTAAGTCGACGAAAATTCCAATCGTGATCAGCACTTCTGTGACATTGGTACAAATTAACAGCGACACGTAACAACTCAGCGTAACAGCACGACGTTCATGCCCCGTGGTGTCCCGTTGCTCACTAGTTCACCCTGGCACCTCAACCACTGAAGTTTCACGCCACCGCCCCAAGTAGCAACAACCCTGTTCCAGCGTCAATGGATCACCAGAGACGACCTTCTATTAGACGATAAAATGAAGAAGATACATTTCATGCATATTTTGTCAACTATTTGACGGTTCGATGTCCATCAACTAGTAAGACGATCCCTTTATTTCCCCCTCACTTCCTCTCTCCCCAAGCTTCCACTGACCTGACCCGACCTCCTAATCTCCCACTGACCTGACCCGAACTCCCAATCACCCGTTGACCCGACCCCCCAATCTCCCACTGACCTGACCTGACCTCTCCACAGACCTGATCTCTCAGTCCCACTGACCTGACCTGAGCTCCCCTTTCCACAGACCTACAAATCTGCGGCGATCCAGAGACGCCGGCGCACGGTCACGTGACCCGACCAGACGCCGACACGGCCACCTATGGGTGCGAGGCCGGCTATCGTCTGGCTGGTCACCGCCAGAGGCGCTGCATTCGCGGCGAGTGGGCCGGCCAGCAGCCCGTCTGCCGCAGTGAGTGGGGGTGAGGGGGAGGGGTGGAGGCTGAGAGTAGGATTGGGACAACTAAAAGTAACGGCTTTCTGGTAGTGGTTTGTTTGAATTTGTCTGTAGTATGGCGAGGCATAACACACTGCATTGACAATGCCAGTAAGTTTCCTGTCATCGATACCGTCCCGGAGCTCACGCCTTAGCCCGCCCGCCGCGCGGCTACTGATCTCGTGCCCCTCTGACCTTGCAGAGATATTCTGCGAGCGGCCGCCGCCGCTGGAGAACGGCTTCCTGGAGCAGGCGGCCGGCAGCCAACCACTGCACCAGTTTAACGATACAGCCCAGTATCGGTGTCACGCCGGCTTCGTGATGCAGGGCGGGCCGGGCCTGCGCACGTGCGCCATCACCGGCCGATGGAGCGGCGCCATGCCGCGCTGTCAGCGTGAGTCGGCCGTGGTCTGACCATAGGGGCTCGATAGGAAGGGGTCGCCAGTCATGGACTGCCACCGGTAGGGAATCGGGAGGTAATAAGCGGAACTCTGGATCCAGTATGCGTGATTAGCCAATCTGAGGCCTGCCATTCTGTTTTATGTTCGGCAAAGCGTGATTTTGACGAAATAACTGTTTCATCTTGACCCAGTGCTGTGGTGCTAGTAGGCAGTAGCCTCTAGTTTGCTGCCGACAGTCACGAATATGATATTCCCATAAGTGTGTCTGACTTCATCCTGACTCCAGTCACTACCATCTCACTGACTGGCTGTGCCACATGTTTCAGCTTTGGTGTGCCCTATGCCGGAGCGGTATGAAAACGCCCGGTATGAGCTTCTGAATGGCACCACCAGATGGCAGGCCATGGTGCAATACGAGTGCTTGGAAGGGTTCGTCCTCGGTTCAGGTAAGAGAAGACAGAATGGCACGAAACCCTACGCAACAAGTCTGTCTCATGTTTGGTTGGCATTAACTCCGTCAGCATTTGTATTTTATCGTAAACACAGTTTCCCTTGAGTATGATAGGTAACGGATGGTCGTGAAGATAATCGAACGGCAGGCACGCATCTGTGGCTAACAGAAGCCAGCCCCCCGCCACCACCACGCCAAAAATACACCCTCCCTCCCTTTCCTCCTCACGGTCCCGCCGCCCCCGTCTCCACCACCTGACATGGCCCACCACTCCCCACCCGCAGACTCAGACGAGCCAGTGACCCAGTGCGAGGACGACGGCCGGTGGCGACCGGTGAACGTCACCTGCACGCCGCGGCCGCCGCCGCCGGTGCTCGGGCCCGGCCTGGTGGCCGCCGACGCCGACCTACAGTCCGGCGCGGGCCGCTCGGCGGATATCTCCGACAGCGGGCCGGCCACCGAGCAGCACGGCCTGCCCGTCACCCACGAGCACCACCAGGCCATGAGCAGCGGCGTGATGGCCGCTATCTTGGTGGTGGCCGCGGTGGCCATAGTGGCCATGATCGTCGTGGGGATTCTGTTCACCAGGAAACGATCAGGAGCCTGCAGGTACGGACACTCATGGACAGCCTTCACCCAGTTGTGGCTGATGTGTGTTGAGACTTCCGTGATAATTCAGAATCGGTTCTCCGTTGAGAGCATGAACCAAGGAAGGCGTAACTAATGTCGACATGCTCAATAGGACTGTTGAAGTGAGAAGTAAATTTTTGCTGAAGCAATATCGAAAGTGCCCGTAGCAATAGGTATGCGGCCCACCACGATGTTGATCATTATACATAGTTTGCAACTCCCTAGCATAGTGTTCCCTCTCCAGTGCCGAGCCCGCCGTATCTGACCACTGGACGGTGTCTTTCTCGACAGTGTTTGGAGGCGGGAGAAGCGGCCGGAGCCGACGGTCGCCGTCCTGCCGCCCACCGACATCAAGACGTACGACCAGGTGTACGAGCCCAACTACCAGAACGTGCTGGGCGGCGCGCCGACCACCACCCTGTCGACGTTCCGCGCGCCGCCCACGTCCCAGCGCTCGTCGGGCGAGGCGGAGCGGCCGCTCGGCCGGCCCGTCGAGCCGCCCTACGAGACGCTCAAGGCGCGCCTGGCTGCCGAGGCCGCCGCCGCCGCCGAGGACGACCCCTACGAGCCGGTGGCCGGCGGCCGGCTGTACGACGCCGTGTCGGCCGAGGGCGGCGGCGACTCGGGACCGTACGCGTCGCTCGCCAGCCGCGACCCCGACTACGAGACGCTGCGGGCGCTGCGCGGCGAGGAGGGCGACTACGACCTGGTGCCGGCCGGCGCCGCCGACTCCGGCTGCCCAGAGTATGACCAGGTGCCCGTCAACACGTACGAGAACTGTCGGTTCGTGGCCGGCACCGGCGCGCACGAGGTGCCCGACCTACTCAAGGGCGCACCACCCAGCCGCGACCACGACATCCCGCCGGAGATTCTCGCACTGTACGCCAAGGTGATCAAGTCCAAGAAGAGGAACCGTGACGAGACGACCGAGCCGCCGGTGCCGACTCCGGCTCCGGACTCGGCGTGCCCCTCGTCCCCCGGCTCCAGCGCCGCCTCCTCCTACACCAAGAACCTGATACAGAAGTTCAACCGACTGGCGGGCGCCGATGAGCTGGAGTCGCCGACACGGCCGGCGGCCGCAGAGGACAGGGTCCAGTGTTCATTGCCCGGTGTGGCCGACACGGGTGTTCACAGACTGAGTGTCGAGGCGGCCGGCTTTACTGCCGTCAGACCGCTGCCGCCCGTGCCTCCGGAACGCTAGCCCGCGGACGCCACAGGGCGACGGTGGCGCCCCTATAGTCAGTGACGGCTGTGTGTCCGGCGGCCGGACGGGCGGTGGGCGTTTGAGCTACCGGGCGACCACGGCGGCATGGTCCGGCCTCCCAGGGCCCCGTGTGAGTGCGTTCGTGACTCGCTCAGGCGGCTAGCCATCGAGAGACATTCGCCGCCCGGTTAACGAGCCCCTCGCAATGTGGCAATGACCCGCGCGACCGGTTCAGTGCAGGGGGAATTTGACTGTGTTTGTATCGTGTGTTCAGTATTGCGTTATTGTCTGTGGGAAGTTGGAACCGAAGCCATTTCCAGGGTAAACGTGGCACCCGGTCCCATCAAATGTGTATCGTGGTATGCGCGTGTGCTAGGGTAGTTAGCTGATGTGAATGGCAATACAAGGTGTATTCTTAGTGATGGGGTTTCTAAACGAACTCGTATGCACTAATCGCATAATCCCCGATCCCTCAACCTCTCGGCCGCATGCCTCTTCTCCCAGCCTCCCCCACGACCACCTCCTCCCGCTCCCTTTACCGTGTTTCATCCGTCCAGAAATACTCGGTCCGCTGACGCAGCGCATATTTGTATTGATGGTCGGGTGGAACAGCCTAGAACTTGAGTTTGTGCGGCACCATACCGCGCGTCAGCTCGAACGGCTTGTTGAGGTAGGCGCAGATGAGCGCCTTCTCCTTGTTGGCGCTGATGGCGTTGACAATCTGACTGTCGACGGCCACCTGGGTCTGTTTGCGCTCCTCAGTCAGCTCGTACTTCTGTGGACGGACGCGGAGGGTGGGGGCGTCAACCATCAGCGGGTAGGAGCAGCGGGGTCCCAACGCGAACACACGTACGAAAGACAGTCATGGCGAGTGGTGGGGCACAATGGAATTGCAAACAGACAGACACACTAGCGCTATGAGACAGGCATGTTCCGGTTGTGGAGGCCAAGAAGTCTGGTTGACATTCTGGTACTATGTCGCGGAGTGCTCTAGGGCTGGTCCATGGTGCGGGCAGCTGCCAGCCCGCAGAACGCGGGCCGGCCGAGGCCACGCCAAGTCACCGTAACTGGGCACCACAGTCCCGCCCACAACGGAAACATCACAGCTTTGCCGATTAGAGAGATAATAAGCTAGCACAAATACACATCAGAGTCTTAAACATTAAAGCAAGCGTCTTCCCCATAAAGCTGGTAAATATAAAATGAAAACGAAACACATTGCACTTAGGCTTACTCAACTTTCTGATAATGCATCTGGTTTCGCCCTTTCCCACATCCAGATATACAGTGATGAGTATGTCGGATTAAGCCCAACAACGCCAGAATAGGGAGGTGGGATGGATGTGTGCGTGCCGGCAACGACATGAAATACATGATAAGTTTCTTGGACACAGTTTTGTGCAAATCGCAGGGATGGTCCCGAAACTCATAATTACCACCGCATCACAGTCACAAAAAGGAAAGTCTTCACTTCATTTTGGCTAGGAACACTCCAGGCGTTACAAGCGTAATATGTCTCGTACACTGTACAGCAGGGATTGGCAACCTACGGCCCACGGACCGGATCCGGCCCGCGACCATTTGACGTCCGGCCCGCGGCTGGTATCAGCAACTAGCATTGTGTTCCGACCCGCGGTTCCTTCAGAAATCGACTTTTTCCGTACAAAAGTGACTAAAGCGTGCGTTGGCACAATAGTTCTTCCTTCATACATTTCACTAGCTTATAAGCGCCATTTTCAAATGCTACTGTCTAATTCTAGACAAAACATACAAAAGTAAGCTTTGGTCAAGAGCTTTTTTCTAAACGACGCCTGGCTACGTGCATTTGACGGTCACATGCACGCTGTCTGCGCGTTTAATTTATATCTCCGCCGGAAAAAGCAGCTGCAAGCTTTGCACTGAGGCCAGCTGAACGCTGCGGGATAACTTGCCTCTCTCCACCGCTACAGGATAGGGCCATGAGGCTCCGTGATTAGCGACATTGTCGCCAGTCAGTGAGATAATTGAATTCATGAAAATGCGCGCCCCTTGTTTTCATTTTTGCTCTTGCCTGCCGGCAAAATTTTCAGTACCTTGGTACTCGAAAAAAAAAGCTTTTAGAGGCATGCTGGTCTCATCAGATTATGGAGAATGGGCAAAAACATTCCTTCTAATTACAAACTTGCTTTTTCCTCTACCAGTCTGTCTTAAACGGCATGTTTCATCATATGACACAGGGCAATTAGTTGTCACAACTAAAAATCCGTTAATGACGCTGTCATATTTGGCTGTCGGTCCCGTAGCTCAGTCGGTAGAGCGTTGGACTCCGCGTAGTGTAAGCACGCGTTCCCGGTTACAACAGTCCGGGTTCGAAGCGAGACGGGCGCTTGACATTTATGGGCCTCCTGACGGGAATGGTTGCGGTTGGTGGCAGGCCGTAGCCAGGCGGTCGGTGAGGGGACCGACCGTGCGCGGCTATGTGCGCACGTTAAACTTTGGACTCTAAATTCTGCCATAGAACCGGAATTGCGCGATCAGAGGGTAGAGGCAGGGTCAACGCAACAAGCTTCGCTTAGGGTTCTGTCCTTGTGAATCCCTCCATTCAAAAGGTTCGAACTAAACTTATTTTTAAAAAATCCCAAATATTGCGTAAGAATGTAGCAAAGTGCAACCATGCTGTGCTCCCGCCTGCCGACTGCCTCCGAATCGCTATCTGGACCGCACTCCAAAAAGGGTTGCCGATCCCTGCTGTGTAGCATGACGTAAATAGTTATCGATTCAAGATACTCCTCAGTTCAGCGTGCCACGACTCAAATAGTTTAGCCCCGGCAAATAATACCTGTGTGAAAGCCTTTGCAGAGTTTGGCAAGTGCACCTGCTCACAACACATACCTGCTTGGTCTCCTCGAAGATATCACCATCCTTGGTGCGCTTCGCGGAGCTCTTGGGAGCCTTCTTCTTGCTGAAGTACTTGTCATCCAGGTTGGCAGGAACCTTGACGTTGGAGATGTCGATCTTGAGCGAGGTAGTGACCATCAGGTGCTGCGGCACGCGCCTCAGAGGGCAGCCGTTCAGCTTGTACGGGCCTGGAGATGAAAATGAGAAAAACAGGACTTGTGAGTAAAGCAACCATTAGCCTTTACCAATAGTAAAATGAAAAATCATATATAAAATAAGCAAACAACGCTAAGCACTGTAAGACGAGGAACATGTTCCGGTTGTGGAGGCCAAGAAGTCTGGTTGACATTCTGGTACTATGTCGCGGAGTGCTCTAGGGCTGGTCCGTGGTGCGGGCAGCTGCCAGCCCGCAGAACGCGGGCCGGCCGAGGCCACGCCAAGTCACCGTAACTGGGCACCACAGTCCCGCCCACCAAGGAAAAACATCACAGGTCGACAAAGTACACACTAATTGGAAATATCAGGGCAGCAATCCAAACCGATTGAGGCATCACAAACACCAAAAGAGGCAGTATGACCTCGCATAGGGGCACCATAACCTCTGAAAATGGCGTCACAATCCCAACATCGCAACTAACGGTTAGGGGCGTACCAGAGAAACACGTTACTGTGTTGCTTGGGAAGAGGGTGAAAATCTTAACCCTCGCATGTGTGCGGCGTTTGCCAGCTTCTAATGTGTAGGGGGGGGGGGGGGGTCGGTTGGACCCCCCCTTGCCGTTTGGCCCCTGATCGAGCTAGAGCTTCGCGGAAAAAACGAGCGTGTTGCCCGTGACGAGAGGAGGCCGATGATACCCAATTTTAAGGTCCTAGGTCATTGGTTGACCTTCCAGGTCAGGTCAATGACCCAAAGTCGGGAAAATCGGGACCTGTTAGAAAGTCGTAAAGTGTGGCTGCTGAGAGGTTTTTCGGGGTGCTGATCACGAATATCGTGTTAGTTTTGATGACAGATGATGTCTTGAAGCATTTAGACCAGGTCGGGTCAGGTCAGGTCAGGTCAACCAGTAGGCGTCGTGACGGGTATTCGTAGTACGTGTCAACCGCCTCTGACAGTTTCGTAACATGTTACGAAGTCACCAAAACTACTTCGTAAATGTTCAAATGGTTGCTAAATTCGAATTCAGCTCCAAAGACTAGCCTAGAAACATGTAAAACTCGAAAAAGTGAACCGAGGTCACCCGAGGTCACCAAAGGTCAATGACCTGACCTGACCTTCAGGTGACCTTGACACACACGGGAGTAACATCAAATCACATGTTTGAACGTTTGAAACCACGAAAAGCTTGCAAACACGCGGCTAGTGCGAGCCGACATACGCGAAATCGCGATTCCGGCCGAACATGGTCTCGGAAAAGAGGTCACAGGTCAAAGGTCATTTGGGTCAGGGTCATGAAATTTTCAGGGTAGGTGTAAAATTGATCAATGCGAGGGTACTGAAAGTTTCGTTGCGACCGACCGCTTTTTACGCGAGTTATTCGCGAAAAACCACGAGGGGGGCCATCCGACCCCCCCCCCTACACATGCGAGGGTTAACACTTTTGAGTCAGACTGGAGGAAACGGAAAAGCAAAGAAGGTATTTTTACTAACAAGGCCAGAGGGAATTACTGAATGTAAAGCCTGGTGTCATGGTGACAGATGTGTGTCGAAAGTCAGGTTAAGCGACTGTATGATAATGCGCTTGTGTTTTTTTTTTGTTGTTGTTTATTTTTGTTTACGAATTCTTCAACGAAGTGAAGCGATGCAATGCGATTTATGAAAAGTGTTTATCCCGAATGTCTGCGCCACTTCAAGTTGAAGTGGCATTTTTTGAATTTTCAAGTTTTGTTTTGACATGTTAAGTTTGTTTTCAAGATTTTTATCCTAGGCTGACAAAGGAAGCTGTAGCGCTTTCAAAACCTCTCAACAAAAACTGCATCTACTATATAGACTTTTACACAATACTTTCACAGTTATTGATGCCTGTACATTCAGCCAATTTAACCCGCGAGTTGCTGGGGGGTGGGGCGTTAAACGCCCCCACTTTTTTCGCCGGGCCATAGCATAAAAACGGCGCGCCGCAGGCGCGCCAAATTTTGGGTACCTGTAGGGAATTGATTGAAGTTTATTGTGACAAAGTTTCAAAAAAAAAATCGGTCGGAAAATTTTTGAGATATCCAGGTTTTAGTGACGTCATGATTTCTGAGTTTTCGACCAAAAACGACATATGTTCAAAAAATCATATAAAATCACAGAATAGACATACAGACATGCCGTAAACGCCATTAGACTGCCAATACCATGATCAATCAAATGGCTATCTTCGATTATTGATTATCTTTCCGCATTTTCCATAATCTTGAACTGAATCTTGGCAATTTTTCGTGACTACTTCACGACCATGATACATGAATTTATTAAATTGAACTTTTTGAGCCAAACACGTACACATATGATTAAATGAATGTCACCATCGTATTCTACGCCCCAAATTACCTAAAAAACATGTGTCACAGGCTGCGAATATCAGTTTTGATTTTCGGGGATATGTGCCTACCCGGTTGACCTGACCTTGACCCTGACCTATGCTTGACTGACCCCTACATGGAGCTGACACTCTTGTAGGCCTTATAAGATGGATTGTGCACCGTTTTGACAGAGTTTATGGCGAGAGACGCCCATTGCGAAGTCCTGAAGTCCATGCTACTGAAAGCCCGATTTCAGGTGTTTGACCTGACCTTGACCCGACCTGTGACCTCAAAATTCAACTTTAAAGTACTCATCTGAAGCGTCTCGTCGCGCTCTTTCGTTTGCCGCCTCGTGCGTTTCGCTGCGCTTATTGGTTCTCGAGTTATCGGCTGGGGGCGTTTAACGCCCCCCCCCCCCCCAGCAAACGGTGGGTGGCGAAATACCTACCCCAGCAACTGCCGGGTTAAATAGGTGTCATGCATCTATTGAGGTGTAAAAAGCACTAATGAAAACAGCACCATTAACCAACTGGGCTACCTACACCTGATTTTTAACGAACAATGTGGAATGCCAAAGCTACTCAACATTATCTATCTGCCTGTACAATGTACATTTAACAGCACTATGACTACACCCACCCACTGCATTCACTGTGAATTGAGCTCAACATATTATATATTATCAAAGAATGTGCATTACTTCAATCACAAATCCACCATATCAACCAGTATAGCGCCTTTTGGGGCGACTAACGGAGCGAGCGAGAGGGTGAGCCTTGCACGTGCGAAATTTCGAGGGGGTACCTCCAACTGACTTGTGCACGGCACCCTACTAACCGGTCTCTAGCGATGTGCCAAATTTGAGCACAATCGGCCCAGCCGTTCTCGAGATCTGGAAGCGGCACCCTGCACGTGCGCACGTGCAAAATGGGGCCCAACTGACTTTTGCACGGCACCCTACTAACCGGTCCCTAACCATGTGCCAAATTTGAGCGCCATCGGTCCAGCCGTTCTCGAGATCTGGAATCGACCCCTGCACGTGCGCACGTGCAGCAGCGCCCCAACTCTGGCACATGGATATTAGGGTGTTTCACTTTTCACTTTTTTCTCAGATTGTCTCTCCTCGATCGGATTCCCATTATTTCATCTTTTTAATAAAATTTGGTGGCAATTATTCGATTTTAAACTCGATTCTAAACGTCGCGATAATTCGCCAAAGTTTTCAATTTTTGTGCCGTTCGGCGTTGAAGTCACCCATGTTAGAGCAATTGCAAGTAGGGCACTAACACCAAGAAAATACGGCCGTGCAAGAGGTGGTATTAACCGGTATTTTATGACACTGTGAAGGTTGAATATGGTACCTGCGCTTCCATAAAAGTGTCGTCGCATATTCTGGTGCTCAGATTAACATACACAGACATAACTCATTATTCAGGACACGACAACTTAACAGTAAGCAAAACACTGGTACGTCAGTGACGGCAAAACATGTATTTCGGTACCGGGCCTCAACACCGTTTCTCATCGAACCCAGTCACAGGGTAGCCAGGGCTGCCTTTGTCATGTGTGGCACTGCACGCCTGTGCCTCTCCACAGCCTGCAGAAGCCACTGGAATTGGTCCTGCCCCTTCACATGCTGAGCGAATGTTTTCAGAAGAGCGATGCCCCTCTCCGCGGTGTCGTTCACGACTTTCACTGTTTTCACGAATTCCTTGCATAGGATGTACGCCTCGTGACCTTCCCACTCCCCAGGAGGCTTCGTCATCCACTCGTGGTCGACTCCCATCAGGTCAAACATCAGCCACGACGACGTGGTCACCAATTCTGACAGGCTGGTGGACTCATCCAGTGCGACCGATGGTGTCTGATCAGGCGCCGCGGAGCACGAGTTTGCGAGCAGGTTGACACATATGGCCTCCTTCTCCTCTTCTGTGACACGGCTGCTAAAGAGGCTGAATACTACAACTGATGGCTGCAGATACCACAAATGGCGCCGCATCACAGCGAGAGCAGCGTTCGCCACTGGTTGGTCCAACTGCCTATACCGCACCAGGCTACGGTACAGGTTGAGGTCGTTAGCGGGGGCGTCCTCTGCAACAGGGGCCCGCAGCCACGCGACGACATAGAAGAGGAGCAGGAACTGAGCCATCCGCTGCACCTTCTCCTGCATTGGCTCATCGTACTCCAGCTGGTCCGCGAACAAGAACATCTTGATGCTGTAAAGTGTACAGCATCAAGTGTACAGCATCAAGATGTTCTTGTTCAAGACTGGATGAGTCCACCAGCCTGTCAGAATTGGTGACCACGTCGTCGTGGCTGATGTTTGACCTGATGGGAGTCGACCACGAGTGGATGACGAAGCCTCCTGGGGAGTGGGAAGGTCACGAGGCGTACATCCTATGCAAGGAATTCGTGAAAACAGTGAAAGTCGTGAACGACACCGCGGAGAGGGGCATCGCTCTTCTGAAAACATTCGCTCAGCATGTGAAGGGGCAGGACCAATTCCAGTGGCTTCTGCAGGCTGTGGAGAGGCACAGGCGTGCAGTGCCACACATGACAAAGGCAGCCCTGGCTACCCTGTGACTGGGTTCGATGAGAAACGGTGTTGAGGCCCGGTACCGAAATACATGTTTTGCCGTCACTGACGTACCAGTGTTTTGCTTACTGTTAAGTTGTCGTGTCCTGAATAATGAGTTATGTCTGTGTATGTTAATCTGAGCACCAGAATATGCGACGACACTTTTATGGAAGCGCAGGTACCATATTCAACCTTCACAGTGTCATAAAATACCGGTTAATACCACCTCTTGCACGGCCGTATTTTCTTGGTGTTAGTGTCCTACTTGCAATTGCTCTAACATAGGTGACTTCAACGCCGAACGGCACAAAAAATGAAAACTTTGGCGAATTATCGCGACGTTTAGAATCGAGTTTAAAATCGAATAATTGCCACCAAATTTTATTAAAAAGATGAAATAATGGGAATCCGATCGAGGAGAGACAATCTGAGAAAAAAAGTGAAAAGTGAAACACCCTAATGGATATGCAGTGCCTAGTGGGTGCCTACCTACATGCCAACTTTCAGCGCAATCGGCCAAGTAGTTACCGAGATATTGCAACAATTACAAAACGGACATCTCTTCGTTTTGCACGTGGCACGTGCATAAGGGGTCACCCACATGCATCGGGAATAGTCCAATACTTGGTAGAAGGAATGAAGCTATCCTACAAAAATTACCGCATGTAAATCGGTCAAGTGGTTGCTGAGATATAAGCCTCGCAAAAGCGTGACCACGGCCGGCCGGCCGGCCGGCCGCTCATACTCAGAAATTTCCGTTAATCTAAGGAAAGACTACGCTCGCTTCGCTCGCTCCGTAATCACTGAAGTCTTCCAGAGACATCATTAATCTGGATGGGAGGGAGGAGCCATTATGCTTAGCACCAAATATTGCAACCACTCCACCTTCCTGCAATTGTCATACTGACAATTTTTCTACCTGAGTGCAGTGTAGCAAAATGTATTGATTTAGGTGGGAAATGACATCCAAATAGAAATCATTGTGCATTCTCATTTCTAATTTTTAAAAGCATTTTCCACACCCAATTTAACTGAGGAAAAGCATTTGCATTGATGATTGTTTTGCACCATACACTCAACCATATTTGTCATACACTCAACCACATTTGTACACAAATTTATGCCACTAATCCATTTTTCACTTTTGTTGGGCCTTATCTGACTTGCAATTTTTCACTCTTATCTTCCTTTTAGGAAAGGAATTTCCCCTAACAATCAGGCCAAAATGTTATCTAGGAACACTGTCAAAGTAAATGTAACATGGGTATCAGCTGCTAACATGCTCTCAGTAAAAACAACAAGTCATGCATCTTTAAACGAAGTAGTGGCAGTATCCAACAGTGTCAGAAAAGTGGCCGGTTTCTCAATTTTTTTGAACTTGGAAGATTTGTTCTGTGAGATTTTTCACTGCTAATAATCAATTTTTTTTGTTCCGTCACTGACTAAATATCAACTGCAACTGGGCATCACAGGACTGAAAGGGAAACTTACTAAAGAAACATGTTAATTGAAAATTTGACATTGTGCTTTGTTCTGTTTTCAGATCTCCAAAGCAGCAAGCAAGCATCCTGCAAGTACTATTGAAACAGATAAGAAGCAGTTGCTCCACAATTTCACCATGCAATCATCATAATTGGATCAGTTAAAATGCCAGTCATTCATTACTTTCCAAAGTTGAAGTGCTTACAAGATGAGATAGAAGCATTGACAAACCATGTCAAACTATCCAGCAAGTTTTAAAACAAGCGTGAAGGAATGAATCCAGTATACGTGCCTTGAATGTATGCTATGAGTGTGTTTGTGAAATAAATAAATGTTTCCATCACATTTCTCACCTGGTTTGTCTACGAATGAGAATCAGATGTTCACGAAAGAGAATCAGCCCGTGACAGGATGATACCTACCATCTACCATCCAATTCAACCATGATCACCTGCATGTCACGTGCACGGAATGAGGTTAGATGCTTCTTACGATAAATCAATATTATCACGAACAACCACCCATACCAATACCAATACCTACGACTTGAATGGCAAGCTCACCACAATGTCTTTGCACAATGCACAATCCACACCACGTTTATGGATACACTGCCATTCCTTTTGCGTATTCTTTCATCAAATCAGTAACTACCGATTTCCTGCTTTCTCGTCCACTATTGGGCAGAAAACGATTTTTATGCAGGAAACACTGATATCAAAAAAAAAATAAACATTACTTTTGACCGTGATGCGCATTATTTGTCGAATTTCCCAAAAAGACGCTCTTTCGACCGTCCAGTGAGGCTGCCATATCCTCATAACGGCATTTCAATGGCAGTGCATTTCTCAGTTCACCATATTCTTGTTCCGTGACACGGAACAAAAGTAAGGGTAGAATAAAGGTTGAAATAGGCTTGCAATCGGCTCAAATTAGGTATGGCATCATAGATTGTTCAATTCTGATTGTTTCTATGTCAAATTTTTATATTTTTATGGACGTTTTCATATAGTTTTATTGAAACGCCGTGACCATGTTTCGTCACGGAACAACTCACTTAATTTGGAACGTTTAAGCAATCTCGACTTTTGTTTATAAAAAATTGGGTACCGTTAGAATCGTTGAGAGACGGCGCTTTTCATAGCATAAAATTATTGCCCAGTTAATGCCGATTGCAGGAATAATACCGACATATGCTGATATCACTTTTACATGAAGTAATGTTTGTCTAGGGCATAAAATCCCTTTGCTTATAAGTATGTTAATTGAAATACAGCAGCCAGATTGAGGTCAAATATTCATTTATTTTTAATTCGTTTTAAATATGATATGCTATTTTGAAGTTTTCATCAATTTGAATCATTTTTATCAAATTGAAAACCAGTAAAGAGGAAATCCCTTTCCTCTAATTTCCCTCGCCGAGTCATCCATCCTCCGCGCCATTTCTCAAGGCTCGTGGTGCGCGGCGTCCGTTTCAGTTTGGGCAAGCGCGTGGGCAATTATCTATTATTGATTATAATCATTTGTGGCATGGTTTTTGGGGGTTGTCTTGCACAAGACCTTTTTTTAAGTGCTGGCATGTTTTTGTGTCTTTGTGGTTCGTTATTTGTTGGTTATTTGCTTCAAGCTGGTTTGCGTCAAATTTGTCAAACTTGCATTAGATAGGTATAGGTCATTTATACTGATACTATCTAGGTAGGTAGGTACCAGTCCACTTGACTATGTTTTGATGCTGCTTAAAGGTATTTCAAATAGTATTTCAATATACTTAGCAGTTTTTGTTTCATGTGAAAATGTGTCATTTGAAAAGCATATTCTGGATGTTGTGTATATTTTTATACCCCATTCATTTTTCTCACTGCATTCACAATTTTAAGAATAATTTGTATATTTTCCATTATGAATGATTTTGAGCATCAGTGATCATCCATTACCTGCATGTCCAGATTTGCTAACTAATTATAAATAGTCTAACACTTGGGCTGTAAGGCCACAACCTGCTGTGTTCCTTGAACCTTTATTTTATGTGTAGAAGCTGCTGTTTCTGACTGAGACTCTGGCAAATATCTTGTATACTTAAAGCATACCTAGAACAATACGCATGGCCCTACAGTGCCTTACTTTATGATTTTTGTTCCGTGAGCAGCTAAACATTTTGTTCCGCGAACTTAGATCCCCAAACCACTTTTCTGACACTGGTATCCAATATCCATGACTGGCAATAACATACTATGCCAAATAGCCAAATGTGAATGCCTATACCCAATGCCCATAGGATATATAGACTATTCAAAACTAGAAGTTCTTCCCTTTATGATCAAGCAGATAAAACTTGATACACCTACCATAGCTAAGACTGTTTGTATCACACACAAAGGAGGCACAAATGAAAAATATTCAGAATATTTTCAATGTCACACATAATTTTCACAATGTCACAGAAATAAAACCATTGCAGCTGGTGAACTGAACTTAATCTCCAACCCTCAATAAAATGGTATTTAGCTGCATCACCAGAAAAGAAACTTACCAGTAACCAGGCAAGTTCCACTGGGCAGCTGCTTCAGGAAGACCACACGCTTGCCCTTGTGGGTGCCAGCCAGGATGATGCACACAGAGCCAGGGGTGAGGTTCTTCTTCAGCTTCAGCTGCCTGGGCTTCCTCGTCCTCAGGGCCGGCCTCACCCGCTTAGCCTCAGTGTTGAGGGCATAGGCCTTCTTGGGGAGGACTGGGAGCTTCCTCACCTTGCCATTCTTGAGCTTGATCTCCCTCAATTTCACCTGGAAATGTTTTTTTATTCTTAGAAATTTAGTCTGGATGGATTATCTGGTGAATTTGAGGTCTGGTGCTCTGATAAGTTTTACCTACCTGTTTGATACAAAAACACAAACTACCTACAAGGCACCAATCCCTCCTTGCCCATGTCTGACCACCATTAATTTTCCTTTGTCTTGTTTAACTCATCATAGGTAAATGACCCCAATCTCTAGCTCATAGTGAGAAAAACAGTAATTTGCCAAATATAGCCATCTTGGGAAAGAACACCATTAGGTACAGCCTGTGAAGTCACACAACACCTAAATAACACCAGTATTTTTACACCAAGGTATAACACAAGTAAATGCACTAGCAAGATATTAAGTGTTATCATACTTACCCCACTTTTACTGAATTTGTGGGAGCCACTGCTTGCCACCGCCTTGGACGGCATCTGTGAAAAACAAGGCATCTGTGATTACCAGAACTTTTCAAGCAGAAGGGGAAAGTTGTTCAAATAATGAAAAAAGTGAGGACATTATTATGGTAACTGGTAAAAAGTAAAATATTTTCCTATCGTTACGTTGCGGCAAATACTGCGAGCAAAAGACAAACAGTTTTATCAATATTCTGATTACATTTAAGAAGGAACCACGACAAGCACGATGACAGCATGCTTATGAGCTAACTGGGACAGAATGCTACCCTAAATCAACACAACTTATATCACTTGGTCATGAAAAGGCATAAAATTCGTGCAAATTGATTGCAAGCTACAAACCTTGTTTACTTGCTAGCGGAAAAGGTCGGTTGCCATGTGCGAAAATAAGAAATATTTTTTCTTTCAAACAATCTGACAAAATGTGTTAGAGTTCTTTTGAAGCATCGAAATACAAAACTTATAAATTTTTGTAACAGAATTTAATATTGACTCGGTTTTCCGTAACTTATATAAAAGATAAATAAATCATTCTGATAGTGAATCGATAATCGGTTGCTTGTTTTTTACTAAGATAGACGGTAAAACAAAAGTTGCGATGTGTAATAAGCGAGTTATTTGAAGCTTAATTTTATTTTAAAGATTCTAAAGGGAGAGTTGACTGATATTTCCAATAAATAATAATCGGTTGAATCTTAACAATGTTTTACTCACTATTGCCGGTTCGCCATTTTCTCGCCGTTTTATACACAGTACAGGTTGCCGGCCAAAAGCATTTGGGCAAAATTTGGGGAAGTTTCCTTTTGATATATTCATTGCATCTTCGGGGGCTGTTTCTCTGCATTGTGACCTGTGTTTTGGGTTATGGCAGAAACTGATAAACTAAATATTGACAGCATAATCGCGCGTCTCTTGGAAGGTGGGTCGGGGTTTGGGTGGTGGTTTGAACTTAGTTGAATTTTAGGGTGTCTGAGGGATAACTAGATATTGGTATTTGCTAATGTTTGGCACTCTAAGACAAATGTGTGTTGTTTTCATCATGGATTCTTACATTTGACTTTTTGATTTCATGTTTGGGTGGTCATATAAGTCATTAATTTGAAATGAATGGAATTTGTATAACTAGGAAATGTGAGCTGTTTATTAGGTAAGCATCCTGAATAACCAATGATGGAAGTGTGACCCTGTTTGACCCTGTTTTGCGTTTACAAATGGTAGTCACTGGCATTACAATATACTTGCTAGCCTGAGCCTCCCACTTTCCTGTTTGTGTCCAGGTTTTCTCTGTTATAATGACGTGCTAATTATAATCCCGTAGACAAATAAATATTGTAATTAAATTGAAGATTTGTCCATGATTTTTCTTTCAGATTTGATTTGATTTTCAATATTAAAACTTAAAAAGGAATAATATCAGTAACCAGAAACTTTTTACTAACATCAACATTCAGATCAGGTACCTTCATTATCTCATTGATGTATTTTTTCAGAAAAAGAGGTTCTGCTGTCACTGATAAGCATGGCTTCACTTATGCCCTTTATTTCCATCACTAGGTGCTAACAATAATGTGTATTTATTTCAGTTAGAGGAGCACGGCCAGGAAAGAATGTTCAGCTGACTGAGAATGAAATCAGAGGCCTTTGCCTGAAGTCTAGGGAAATTTTCCTATCACAACCTGTTCTGCTTGAGTTGGAGGCACCTCTCAAAATATGTGGTAAGTTTTATCACCAATTTTGTGAATTGTGACTATGCATAATTGTTTTGATCCCTTGTTGATAATGTTTTGCTTTGTTTTCCATTCCCATCATTTTCCCAGTATCCCTATAACCAAATGCAGCACCTATTTGGTTGGGGAGGGCTGATGCAGGAGGCCATTCCCCTGAATATTCATCTGTTTGTTTCCTCCCTCACATCTCTCACATCTTACTTATTTGTCTGGTTGATTTTTTCCCTTTCCATATATTTTATTGCATACTATTTGTCAAATTGATTCAGTTCTGGTCCTGGAGGGTAAAATAAAAAAAATGTGCCTGTAGGGTCAGTATCTGGCCGGATATGTTTATGAACTGAATGTAACACCATGTATTAGGACATATGATAAACACATTAAATCACATTTTATTGAATTTTAATTGACAATTGGAAGGTTTAGGTGCCAGAATATATTGTTGCTAGGGAGAACAAAGTCATTTGCTATGCACCCCATTGGGATCATTGATCTGAACCATTTTGATCTAACAATCTTGCAATATAATATATCCTTTCTCATTTTTTTTTCAATACAGAATTCCTCAAAGAACGCTTGTTGCAGTTCTGAAAAGTTGTTTTCATGGTGATGCATGATCATGGAAGATCCTGAAAGCACAATTATTTCAAATTGCTTCAAGTGTTCCTTGAGTCCCTTTATGGACAGAAAGATTGAGTGAGAATCTGTGGTCTTACTGGATCTGTCATCAAAATGAATGCCCTAAATCCTTGGTCCCATCAGATGAGATCAAGATCTGTAGGATCTGATCTGATCCTAGATAAATTTTCTTGCATCCATGTCTGCTGCTTCCTGTCCTGTTAACAAGTTAGTGCTTAATACCTCATTTATGCAGTAGTGTCATGCTCATCTTAGTTGGCCCCCCACATCTCAGCTGCATGTTGCAGGCATCTGTACTGGATATTGTATGACAAATGCCTGATGCCTACCCATTTGTCTCACAGGTGATATTCACGGTCAATACTACGACCTCTTGCGGCTGTTCGAGTACGGCGGCTTCCCCCCAGAGTCCAACTACCTCTTCCTGGGAGACTACGTCGACCGAGGGAAGCAGTCACTAGAAACCATCTGCCTCCTGCTAGCGTACAAGATCAAATACCCCGAGAACTTCTTCCTCCTACGTGGAAACCATGAGTGCGCTAGCATCAACAGAATATATGGCTTCTATGAGGAATGTAAGTAATGGTTTTGTGATGATGTGTAAACGTATGAATTTCTATGGTTTCTCTTATGATGCTGCTTAGCTGCACATATAACTGAACTTCCATAATCTATGCTGCTAGTTTTGGATGCAGTAATGATTTGTGGATGAGCCATTAGATGTTGTATTCTTAATTAGCATGTTCTCCAATATGTCCGTCGACTTTTCAGGTAAACGGCGGTATAACATCAAACTGTGGAAGACGTTCACCGACTGTTTCAACTGTCTGCCGGTGGCGGCGATCGTGGACGAGAAGATCTTCTGCTGCCACGGCGGCCTGTCGCCCGACCTGCAGAGCATGGAGCAGATCCGGCGCATCCCGCGGCCCACAGACGTGCCCGACCAGGGCCTGCTCTGCGACCTGCTCTGGTCCGACCCCGACAAGGTACGACCTTCCGTATACTGCCCCCTTTCCCATACCGACCCCCAACCCCACCCAACCAGGGCTGCTCCAGTCCGACCCCGGCAAGGTACGGCCCGCCGGCCTCCCTATACCGACCCCTTCCGTATAGACCCCTAACCCCACCCGACCAGGGCCTGCCCTGCGACCTGCTCTGGTCCGACCCCGACAAGGTACGGTCCATCCTGTACTGACTGCTGACCCAGCTGTGTTCGCTCTCCGCCTTTGCCGACCAGCCTGACCCCGGCTGGCCGTGTCCCTCCCTACCAATACTGACCGCTGACCCTGGCTGACGCGGTTGTCCCTGCCCTGTGACATGTGTTCCAACTACCACCATTACAGTATAGCCCGCCCTGTAGTTACCGTTCCCGACAAAGCACGATCATTTGACCGCCGGTGTGCGTATTTCGGCAATCCTATTAATGAATTACTGATCGGGCATAGCTCTGAACTTGAATGTAGCCTTATGACCACGTCTGTTTTATGGGAAATCCTACTTTGTTTTATTGTCCCATTTATTCATTCCAACAACTGTTACATCAGCTAATCGCAGTGAATGTTTTTTTACGGAGCGAGCGAAGCGAGCGTAGTCTTTCTTAGATTAACGGAAATTTCTGAGTATGAGCGGCCGGCCGGCCGGCCGGCCGGCCGTGGTCACGCTTTTGCGAGGCTTATATCACAGCAACCACTTGACCGATTTTCATGCGGTAAATTTCGTAGGGTAGCTTCATTCCTTCTACCAAGTATTGGACTATTCCCGATGCATGTGGGTGACCCCTTATGCACGTGCCACGTGCAAAGCGAAGAGGTGTCAGTTTTGTAATTGTTGCAATATCTCGGTAACTACTTGGCCGATTGCGCTGAAAGTTGGCATGTAGGTAGGCACCCACTAGGCACTGCATATCCATGTGCCAGAGTTGGGGTGCTGCTGCACGTGCGCACGTGCAGGGGTCGTTTCCAGATCTCGAGAACGGCTCGACCGATTGCGCTCAAATTTGGTACACAGTTAGGGACCGGTTAGTAGGGTGCCGTGCACAAGACTGTCAGTTGGGACCCATTTTGCACGTGCGCACGTGCAGGGTGCCGCTTCCAGATCTCGAGAACGGCTGGGCCGATTGTGCCCAAATTTGGCACATCGCTAGAGACCGGTTAGTAGGGTGCCGTGCACAAGTCAGTTGGAGGTACCCCCTCGCAATTTCGCACGTGCAAGGCCCACCCTCTCGCTCGCTCCGTTAGTCGCCCCAAAAGGCGTTATACTAGTTTTATCTACTTCAAGATACAATGAAGAAGGGCAAATCATATAATAAAGTACTAGCACACAACTTTCACTGAACTATCCATATCTAGTCATTCTTGGGACGATAAGGTTCAAATTGTTTACTGATGCAACCAAGGTTGTAAGGCTACCTGTCACCGTTACTGCTATCGGTGGCAAGCAACGGTGTGTGATTGTTCATTGTCGCACACTTAACTAGGTGTGTTTTGCATGGGATTTACAGCTCAACTGGGTCTTGGTAGATAGTGTACCTATCATATTGAATTCCACTGTAAACACCGTATCAGCAAGCCTAAAATGATAGTCTGCTCAGGCGACAGTCACTAGCATACCAGCAGCTGTAACGTGTTCGGGTTTGGTGACGTCATCGTGTGAATAGGGCACGTCCTGTCCTCAGGAAACCTCTTGAATAAATATATTGTTTTGGGATTCTTTTGTATGATTCGGGAACACTGATGAAAAAGTATGATTCATTTGTCTAATACTACTTCACAAATGCTTCCCGAAAGTGTTCACACCATGACGTCAGCAGGCCTCCGCCGATTCCTCGTGACGCCACCTGGTATTTATCGCCTTGAGTCTGCTCATTTTACCCCTAGATGTCGGTCGCTATTCACTGTTGACGAGGTACCGTTTGACGGCAGGATACGATGGGGTGGGGCGAGAACGATCGCGGAGTGTCCTTCACGTTCGGCGCAGAGGTGGTGGCCAAGTTCCTGCACAAGCACGACTTTGACTTGATATGCAGAGCACACCAGGTGAGTGATTGCAAACAAAACACGCTCACGGCACGCGTTTTATGGGTGGAGATGACGTATGGTGTGTGCGTGTTATTGGTTTTTGAGAGAAATAAGTTCCATGGCTTCTCTTGTAATGCTGTAGTTCCAAAGTAAAACGGCGATTCATCTGACAGGTACGGCACGGCCCCACACGTGTTGAAAAAGGCAGATTGATAGGGATTGATTTTGTTGTTTACGAAATGTTCACATTTGCTCGACGAACGGTATTCGGTGGTCTTACCTCGCAGCCCGGCCGTCTGACCCCCTGTTGCCGCGCGCTGCAGGTGGTGGAGGACGGGTACGAGTTCTTCGCCAAGCGGCAGCTGGTGACGCTCTTCTCGGCGCCCAACTACTGCGGCGAGTTCGACAACGCCGGCGCCCTCATGTCCGTCGACGAGACGCTCATGTGCTCCTTCCAGATCCTGAAGGTGAGTGTCGCCCGCCGTCTCCTGCTGTCTGGGAAGTGCCGCCCGCCTGTGTGCAGAAGCGGAGTGCTGAGCTTGTGTGCGCGTTTGTTTGCCGCTCCGAGGTGTGTTTTTCGCGCCGGCTACGTTTATCACGGTGTGAGGCCGGCTGGCGGGGTCCGAAGAGCCTGCGTCCGGACACCGCCAGGCCAACACCCAGAGAAACACAATAAGACGTTCGATTGACTTGTGCATGATGTAGTAACCCCGGTGGGCATGCTTCGTTTCAGCCTGCCTGCCTGCCTGCCTGCCTGCCTATCTGCTAGGTGCCTGCCACTACCTTGCACTGCCTGCCTCACTCATCTGTCTATCTGATGTGTGTGTGTTTGTGTGAGCTTTGATGACTTCATTACGATGGTGTGCATGGCAATAAAAGGTCGCACTATGCTATTGCGACGGGAAATTGAATGAGCATTAAATTATTAAATCTCACCAAAACAAACTACTATTTAGTCCACTAGTCTGACCAATTAGTTGGCAATCTTTCATAGGGAAATTGAAAAAGCCCATAAAGATTTGAATTAATCGCCCTCGAAGCCGGAGTTCATAGGTACTGGAGTCAAATGACTGAAATGTTATACGCTTTTGTCATCTGCAAAAGTGATACTTTGAAGTCTAGCAGATGGATACTGGCAGACTGCTTGTCAGCGACGATTCTTGAAGCTCGTCACTATTGGTATTGAGTGCTGGATTACCTTTGTCTTTTATAGGCCTTTTGATAATTATCCGTACTTTAACGATTTCCGCTTCTTTCACCTTCTATTTCGGTTGAGGTAACCTTTTTTAAAACAACAGACTGGTTTCACTGGCAAACACTTGACAGTTGCTTGAATGGTCTATCGTGTGCTGTCCGGAATAGTTTCGGTATCATTTAAACAGTAATATTCGACTCAAAAATGTAAACCCAAAGGTTAAATGAATATTGACGATTTAACAAGCTTGAAGGAAAGATACTGCTTCAGGTGAATGCAATAATTGCTTAACTAGACAAAGAACTGAGCTGCTGCAGTGGTACGTGATCAATGGCTGCATAAATTGAGTTTCTCTCAGAAGGCAATTGTTGGTTTCTGAAGTTTTCAAGAAAAGTTATAATTGTCAAGAAATCGTGTCAGCTAATATGAACTTGTGTGGCAATTTGACTTATATTTTGCTGCAAAACCGTGAACCTTGGAAAATGTGTCGAGAAAAAATGTAATTTATGTGGATGAAAGGTTAATGATAATAAAGCGTAAAAATGGTTCAGCCTTTTCCCTGCTGTTCTTATCCTAAAGAAAAAATATGAAAGACGTAAATGCATAAACACACCCGAAGGCTGTGTGAAATTATTTTCGTTTACATATTTTCAACATGCATGTTTGCTGTGGTTAGCAGCAAGGTGACTGGCGTCTTATGCCCGTGTTTGTTGCGATTTTGTTCTGTTTGGATAGTCTGCTGGTGTGCGTATAGTTCGTGCCAATAACGTTTATTTGAACACTAACAGCTTTAGTTTTATTTGCTAGCGAACTATAGCTCTTCTAGTTCCGTTATCAGGCAATGGTTGTATGCTACTCAGTATTAATATCACTGTGTTTTCTTGCCTCGCAATATCTTAGTATAATGTTTCGTTTCTTTCTTTCTTTTCTGCACTTACTTAGCATTACATCGTCCACTGCACCCTGTGTCGCTACGCTGTACCTAGTAAAATCTCATCAGTCTTCTTGTGTCTCTTTTTTTCTTATATCTTCAGGAAGTATGATATAAATGTAGAACAATATTTTCTCTCAAGCTGGTCTGTCGTATTGTTGTCTGTTTTTTTATGCATGAAGTCATTTGGATGGTCCACCATAGCAGCGGAGTGACTTCACTGGGCCTGTTTCCACACGAGTGTGTCTCTGTGCTAACCCACTGGTGGCCGGGATTGTTGTGAATAGGTTGCCACAGCTTGCCAGCCAATCTGATTTTCCGTTGCACGTTGTGAATGAAACTATTTCACAGGCCTCTAACGTCTTGTCATTTCGTTTATTGACGCTGTTTTTTTTTTCTGACTAAAGAATGCATCAAAAGCGTGGCTTACTGATTTTTAATCAACAGTTTTAGTTGTGAGCGTTCACCGGCTTAGGGCAATATTGAGCTCAATAGGTACCCATCGTAAATCGCCTTGTTGTATAACGGTGACATGCTCAACAGAAACTGACAGGCACAAGGGCGGGTCAATCATAGAAGGATAAAACGCGATGTCTTCCGATGCGTGATCTGAAGCCTTCTTCAGAATATGGGATACTGGCTGCTCTACAAATTGAACTTGGACATGTGATATTTTGAAAAATGAATGATGCCGTTCGGGCTATTTTAAGACTCAACCTCAGTATCTGTATATGAAGTCATGTGTAATGTCTTGTTTTTATGATAACGGAATATAAGTTTTCAAGGTAATGACGGTCACTTTCACTTTCGGAAAATTGAGAAACATCAGCCATTTTCGCCATATTGTTGTGCGAGTAGCCCGCAGCGCCCAACATCAATGAAAATTACTTTTTTTCAAAATAGAATGTAAACGAAACTAAGCAAATGCTATTTGGAAAACTGCTTTAACTACCCTGCAGGGAATTGACTGTGCATAGGGGATCGAAATCCAAAGACTTCGGAACCTGGAGAAACTTGTTTGTGGGCACCCCCTCCCCCCCCCCACAGCGACCGGGGCCGCCTTTCTTGATCCACCAGTCGATTCCATTAATAATCCGATGCTACATCAAGATAACCAGTAAAATTGTTTCCCGCTGCCATTGCTGTTTTCTTAGGCCGAAAAAAAAATGATGCCATCCCCTAATTATGTTTTGAGATATTTGATTCGGATTATCAGTTTGGCTGGCACTGTGGTAAGCCTGTTAAAGTTTCCGACATTGTTAGTTGGGCTAAGCTGGTCCCGGTGGATACACGCACTTGCTTCCCTGGCTAGGCAATTTATTTTGCCGTCACTGAGAGATAATTTTCATTTTTCGGCAGCCGAACGGAGAGATTTACGAATTTCCTCCGAGGAAAGGCCCACCTCCGCCGGCTGCGTTTCCGGCAACGTTCAACACGCAGCCAGACCAAGAGCTCCAGTGTCGAGCAGATGCAGGTTCAAGCTTCGAACCCAATGCTCGAGACGACGTCCATGGCAGCAAGGCTCCGAAGGTCGATGTCATGAAGGAAGTTGACAAGTTCAGTCGCGAACTGTCCGCCATCCTGAGCGACTCCACGCTCCAGACCGACAATGTGAAACCTGCGGAAGAAAAAGAGCGTCCTTGGAATAGGGAAGCTTCTGTGAGCCGACGATCTGACTTTGAGGACACGGATAGCCACCGTTTTGAGACGAGCCGGCATTCTCGCAATGAAAATGACGCCATGCTTGAGCTACTGGAAACCGAGGAGGCACGCCCGCCCTCGTTCAGAGAACCCGACGGGCGACGATTCATGACTGGCCACTCGTCCATCTCGGCGAGTGGCTCTGCTCTGAGACGACAGCCGACTGATCCCGTTGAGGAGATGCTGGATATTTTCAAAGAGCGCAGCAAAGTGCGGGACCCGGTGGGCCATGACGAACGAACGCTCCGAAGGAAGCCAATGGTAGACGAGTGGGAAGACTCTGATGGTGAAGAAAGACGGGTTGTCTCAAGCGTGATGGAGCGTCAACAAGTCCAAGAGCTCCTAGATGGATCTGGTGAAGAAGTGAAAACAGTATCTGTTGTGAATGAGCCTTCAACTCATTCCAGTAGGCAGGTTGTGATGGACGATATGTTTGGAATGGTCGTCAGCAAGCCAGCGGATACGAATGATTGGGAAATGGACGAAGAACAACCCAACATATCAGTCATTGAAGAGCGTCACGTCCGGTCACCGACGGAAGCGTTGAACCGCCCAAATAACGTGTACGTTGAGCTCTCGCCCGGCCATATTGTCCGCCGTTCGCCGCTCTCAGGTCAGGAGTGGGAAAGTCCCCCTGCGGATGATTTACGAAGGGTCAGGTCGAGCGAAGAAAGGTTCGTCGCTATATCTCGGGATCATAGTCAAGAAGCTCATGGCGGTGAAGAACCGCCCGAAATTAGTGCCATCAAATACGAAATACCCTTAGAAATTCGCGGCATCAAACGAAGCAGAAGTCCAGGACCACCTTCTCGCGCTTCTAAGGCAAGGAAACACTCTCCTGCGCCACGCCGAAGATCTGGAGAGCGGGAGGTCAGGAACCGTTCCCAAAGACATTCAGAGAATAGAGAAGGCTCTCGCCAGGTATCACGAAGAGAACCGAGAGAGCATGTGGAGGAAGAAGAAGCAGGACACAAACATGCGAGAATTACTGCTAAAGCTGCTGCGTTTTCAAGTGAACAATCACTTACCAAGCATCGGGAAGAACGCAGACGATCTATCGAACGAGAAGTTAAACGATCGATAGATCATCGAGTCGCAGTACGATCGAGGGAACGCGAAATAAGGCGCTCGAGAGAGCGAGGATTTGATCGAAGAGACGAACGAGAGCGAAGAAGATCGAGGGATAAAGAAACACAGCGACTACGAGAACGGGAAACCAGGAGATCGAGAGAAAGGGAACCGAGACGATCAAGAGAAAGAGAACCGAGACGATCAAGAGAAAGAGAAACGAGACGATCAAGAGAAAGAGAACCGAGACGATCAAGAGAAAGGGAGCCGATACATCCAAGGGAGCGAGAGCAGAGGTCATCAAGGCCAACAGAAGGCAGACACGTTTCTTCTCGTATGTCCTCGAGAGAAGAGGCCTCGCAGCGATCTCGACAAAACGCCGAAGGATCGCCTCCGCAAAGGCATCGACGACTACGAGACAGATCGCCTGAGGCACGTAAACCGGCTGGCGAATCAAAGCGTCTGGAGCACCGGCTGAAGTCTATGGCTGCTCCTATCGAACGAGAACGAGACCAGAGAACTGTCAAGCCGAGGTCCGACAAATTCCACTGGCGGAAAGGTGACGATGGGGAGCAAGTCATGGCTGGGTTCCAAGTGGTAGATGAGGTAGTAGCCTCCGACGAAGAGATCGAGGTGCAAGTCCCAGAAGATGTGGCGAGCGACAATGGGAAAGACGATGACTCTTCCGGGAAAGGTGGAAAACTTGACAAGGACCAGGTGTCAGCAACAAAGTCTAAAGAACCTGAACAGAAGACTAAACAAGATGAAGCGAAAAAGCGTCATTTGATTTGGAACGAGTCTTCTGACGAAGAGAAAGAGACGAATGACATTTATTGCAAGGGCAAGGACACTCCAGGATGCTGTCGAGTCGTCGTTATTACCGACGAGTCGCTAAGGAATCTGCACTCGGACGGCAACTTTGACTCAAGAATAAACTTTCGGTGTCTCCCCGGGCGCAAAATGCGTGAGCTTATGGAAGTTGCCAAGCATGAACTCGAGGCGAGCAGTGACCCAGTCTTCCTTGTTGTCTGTGGCGGAGGGAATGATATTTACACGGCAGATAGAGTCGAACACCATCGCGTCATCGATGGGATGCGCAGGACTCTTCAGAGTATTAGCGCCAGAGTCAGAAACCACTCTCCGCATAGCCGGATCTTGGTCACACGTGTTCCTCCGAGGCAGGCCAACAAATACACTGTGATTTTGGCGAAGCAGGCCAATATGCTCATCGAAGAGACGAACGCCAGGAACTGTGTCGATAATGTGAACTTCACATGGACGGTGTTTACCAACCAGATCTTCCGGCCCGACTTCTTCACGGGTTCTTCTGGCAAGTACCCCGTGCCGAAGATCGAGAAGCAGTGGCACCACTTGGTTCTGAAGGTCGTCTTACCCGTCCTAGACGAGAAGCTGGATTTGAAAGTGCACAAGAAGAAAGGAATGAAGGTGAAGAGTGGTGAAAGGAGTGAAACATCGAGGTCCGTCACCAAGGTGCGTGGAAACGGCGATTCGCGAGATCGAAAGGCGAGTTCGACTGATCGCAAGGCGGAGAAGACTGCAAAGCAAACCAAGAAAAGCAACCAGGCTGAAGAAACCCTGAAAAATGAGTCGGGCCCTGAAGTTTCGTCAGGGCGTACGACTAAAAAACACAGTGAACCGGTTTCTGACTCTCAGGGTACGGAAAACAAGACAGATGGTGAGAAGCCTGTCGCAGAAACAAAAGAGAACTCATCCGCAGACGCGAGTGCCATTCATTCTAGTGGCCCGGAAGAACAACACAACAAGGATGTCGACCCACTAGGAAAAGAAGAAGACAGCGAAAACTCTACTTCACGAACGCTCGCGCCACGTGTGAAGGTGGATCTGATAGGCAACGTTGATGCTGCTCAAGACGCCATCAATGACAACTCCGATAAAAGAGCCGATGAACCTCACGACGACAAGGAAGATGAAGACGTCATCGTCGTGTGTAAAGAAGGAGATGCTGATGAGTGAAGTAGAATAAGATTTGTAAAGATTCCAATAGTTAAGTGAAAGACACTTCATTGGTGTACAGAAAAAAATGCTTGTTAATCTAGACGTGCCATTTCATCTAAGGACCTGCCATTACATTGAAGAGTGGATGCTGCCTACCTTTCACTTGAGGTACGTCAGCACACGTATTAACCCTTCATTAATGCTCGTCTGAATAACTTCCCCGCTGCTTGAAGTATCTTATCTGAGTCGCTGTGTGAGTGGTCTCAAGACAATCGCCCAGCGCTTAAGACATTTTCATTTTCTCAACTTCTGTTTACCAGGGCTGCGTGGTTGATACGTTTTCAACATTCCCATCATTCCCACCATTTAATCTCATCAGTTCCCGCTCAAAAAGCTCCGTGTCCTAACACAACTCGATATGTTGTGTCAAATTTTAGTCGTTCAGACCCTGCCCTAAATAAATAGGAATGACTTTCAGTCGCTCTCTCAAAAGCATTATATGCAGAATTTCGTTTTTATTCACACTCAAATGTTTTATGGCTAAATCAGGTCAACAAAGATCAACGCACATAGGCAGCATCAGTAGGGACATTGCCATATGCCCTGAACCAATTTTAGAAAATAATGACCGCGACCGCAAGATCATGTCAAGTTCTTGAAAATTTACCTTGAATTGGATCGGCTGTATATTTCTTCGACTAAAATTGACGAGTTACATTCCCTTTTACAATCTTGTGAGGGACGCCAGCCATGTTTTGCAGCCATGATGAGGCCTATGTGTTTTGGAAGAGCTGGAATCCTGGTGGACTTTGGTAACGAACTTAGCATGGTAACGAGAGTGAACACTTTATTGCGTAGCATTCCGTTCACCGGTTCAGGCCTCAACTCCGCAGCCCTGGTACCGAACACGCAGTATTCATTTTCATTAGCATGACCCTACGTGCGTGCTTATCACAGAAGCTACATGCGTTTTCAATGTAAAGATCCTTTGAGCCCAAAATAAAAAAAAAGATGTGATTGCACCGTCGTTTTCCCCTTCCGTGTCGTGCTCGCTTTTTTGTGTCGGTGTTGCACGTTACACAAGAACACTTGGTGACGATGTTTTGTTACTTTTCTCAGCCCATCGACCGGAAAAAGATCTACGGTGGCATGAACTCGGGACGGCCGATCACACCACCTCGAGGCGGCTTTCAGGGAAACAACAAAGGCAAAAAGAAATGAAGAGCTGTGGATGGCTAGCTCAGTCTCGGACTGTGTGATCGTTATAGACTCGGTGACGGCCCCGCTGGCCACATGTAACCCAGTGAAATGTACTGCGAGATGATTTGTTAGCACCTATACTGGACAGTTTACATGGTGTCATGTGCGTTGTACATAGTGACCTATGTGCGATAACTCATGTTTGTGAAACATCGGAGGAGTCGCTCGTCAAACTACTTAGAGTTTAGATGCTGTTTTGTTAGGTCCTATTTTCTCTCGATTGTTACGCCAAAAACATGGTGGCGGCATACGCCAGCTAGGAATCCGCATTTCATTGTGAGGCCGTTTGAGGCAGTATTTTTTATACCCGATGGATCAGCCGTCAGCCGCGGTCGGGGTTATCCAAGTACTGCTGGGAAGGCGGGCCGACTGTGTATGACGGTACAAACGCTGGCGTGGCGGCGGCCTGTCCCATTTGTCAAACTTGCCTGATGCGAGCGGGGAAGCCGTGCTTTGCAGTGTCGACGCGTTTTAAACATCAGCTCACTGGAGGCAGTGCGAAGAAGGCCCAATAAAATGAACCATCGAATCATCGGCCGACCCTGTTTTCTGTTTACGATAGCGAACTAAGGGGGAAGGGATGCGCTGTGTCGTGTCGGCGCCCGGGCTGACCACACGCCAGCCTCCACACATCACAGTGAACCAGTCCATCCACACTGAGCAAGATTACTTTACTACACACCGAGCCGTCCACCGGCTGGCTGGCGACCTGCGCCGCAGCTGGCACACGCGGGCCACGGCCGCTGGCGCCTCCGCCCGCCGCCAGTGTCCTGTCGTGCCCTCTGCCACCGCCACCTACCGACGGGGCACCGGACGTGGCTTGGTGGTGTCACTAGTAGCGCCGGTCACTAGCAGCGTGAGGCCGTATATCACTACGCTAGTCTCGTTAGTGTTCTTCGCATCAACCGCAGCAGAGAGCGATGCGGAAGGCTGCCTATCGGCTAGCGCTCGCAAAGGTCAAGTGAAGGATAGTGCAACACCGCAGCTTATCGCACGTGCGGCAACTTATCTGACACTGGCAACTATCGTCCTAAGATATCCCTAGACTCCAACAGACTTTGTACGCGTCGCTTACCTACAAAATGGGCTTGATCAAAAGTTACTACAATATGATCAAAAGGTTAATTGCTAATTGCTAAGTAGGTAGGTATACATTTAACTACGGGCAGGAAAAATGAACAGGATTCTTGTCGTTTGCCTAAACCTTGACAAGACGTTTACATTTTTACGCGAATGTTTTTTTTTATATCTGGGCGGGATATAAAGAGTTATGCAATAGCAAATGTGAAGACACTGCTTCCAAATGTTTTTTTTTCAGCAACAAAGGGATTGTAACAGTGCGCCAGAGCCTACCTAAATGTGGTATTGCATCTGAGCTGTTCCCCAGTTGGTCTAGGTACTAGGTAGGTACCTACGTCATCACAGACCCGCTGCCCGACCACCCCATGTTCACCTGCGCGGCGCCTGGCTGTTTGGAACGGAGCGGTACCTATGTCTAATGAAAAAGGCGAGTGGTTAATGCATGAAAGGTGGTGTCTTTCGAGTCGATGCCTTGCCCATTGCTATCGATTTGAAATTCAATTGACACTGAGATGCGTTTCAAACAAAGCGATCTTGCTTTATCACATTGTTAAGCTTAGAAGACTGTGGTCATCGATAATCCCCCTGTGTCACGGACTTTACGGCTCTGATAGCCTCATCAGCCGGCCTCTCGTCTGATACAATATCTGCGCCGCTGTCATGACCTGCAGTGCAGTGTCGCAGACTGCCACGGACCACGGGCAGACGTGAGTCGTGACCGCGCACCCCGCCGCCGCTCAGTGCCAGTGTCCCGGCTGGTCTGTGTTCGTCTCACGGTGACCAGGCTCGGGCACTGCAGACTAGTCGTCTTATATAGACCTGCACGGCGTCTCGACGGCAGCACAGTGAACTCGGCGGCTCGGAATCACGGATCTCCGCGGCTTGTATCTTCTCCGTCTCTCGCCTCTGAGTATAGGTGACATCGCCAGGACCGAGGTCAGGTCACAGTACATACCTGCGTACTGACCTGAGGCTCCCGTGGTTACCGTTAGTGCCGTAACGGCGGGCTGCCCCTGACCGATCGCGTCCAACGTCACCATGGGGAGCTCAAAGTGGCGAGTTCCAAAATCGCCTTACACTCCGCCTCCTACCAGGTAAGTGCCATGTCGCATCTTGGTTTGTTCTAATCTAACCAGTATTTAATAATAAATAACCCATTAGGGGAAGCGGGGGTAACACCGCCCCCCTAAGCTTTTCGCCAAAATGAGAGAATATGTGTGAAGTCTCTTGGTAGTTATTGTTTTGGTTACAATATTTAAACATTTTCTCACGTGTTTTAGGTACTTATTTTGCATGCTCCTAAAAGGTTTTCATGTATCACGACTTTTAAAAATACCTTGCATATTTGCTGCCTACAAATTGTGTGGGTAACCCCGCCACCGGTGTTGATGTTAACCCAACCCATTCCTACGAAAGCTTTTAATTGTTCAGAGATCGTGTGCGATGAGTTTCCTGTCGGTAAGTGGTAATTTTCGCAAATAATCGGTAATGGACACCTAAATAGGTATAGGTTCATCAGCTGTTTGCCAGTTTTATACAGCTGGCAAGTGCTTGGTCGGGATGCATGAAAAATATAAAGTAAAAAATCAAATAAGCTGCTTATTCCCGACTTAGGAACATCTACGAACATAAATAAAGCGTGTCTTTGGAGTTTCATCACTTATCACGCTACAAACAGGAAACACCGCAACCTCAATTGGGGTAACACCGCCACGGGGTGGCGGTGTTCCCCAATAAGTGATCACAAGCAAAAATCGCCAGCGGTAAGAATGTAGGGTGAATAGGTCAAAAACGCCCCCCTTAAGCGCGAAACCTTCTGACACTCAACCCAACACAGTTTACTTAAACCTTTGGGCACCATCATGTAGCTCATTCTTTTTACTACGTTTTGAGACCAAGAAAAGACACCTGCGTGTGGTATTTAACCCCCCAAAAAGGTTTTCGCATACCCTTGCAAAAGGGCGTTTTGCCCCGTACCCTGGGTAATACGCCCACACCCATGTGCAAAGCGCCCCCACCCCATCTATCAACAGAAAATGATGAACATGGCAGAACTTGACGTCATTCTGACGTCATTTGTGGTCAACCTATCATAGCCTTTGGAATAAAATTTTGTTGCAATGTGTAAAATGGATGCCCGGAGGAGTCCTGAAAGTTTGGTGACGATATCTGCAGTCGTTTAGGATATATCAGCAAAAAAGGACAGGGAGAGGCCTTTTCGGCCCCGACCTACAGGGCGCTACCCTGCACTCTCACCACCGTGCAAAACGCCCCCTTTCAGAAAACTGGGGGCGTCTTGCCCCATGCATCGAGTAGGCGTCTTGCCCCATCCACTCCATTTCCGGTCAACAAAATATTGACAAAAAACGCGCCACTAACGCCGCAGCATAATATATTCAACAGAATGACAATAAAACGCAGTTTTGAGTGATGTGCACAATAGCAAGGTTTGTGATATAAAGAGGGCATCAAAATATTAGGAATCTTCTGCAAAAACAACAAAAACAACATCCAAAACCAACATCAGCACCTACCCACGCTGCTCCTCAAGACTCAGAACCGGAAATAGAGACCTACGTAAACAAGCAGCTGACTGTTCTGAAAGACAGGATAAAACACCTATCCGTCGATAAGAAATACGATTTTTTTAGGGGAGGCGTTTAACCCAGGGGTGCGTTTTCCCCACAGTTACCCTACTACACGGTTCAAGCAAACTTATCTTACTGGACAAAGCCGATCAGTTATTTTTCGATGTAATCAAGTAAATCAAAATGAGTCTCTACTTAAAGGGACCCTCCCACCTTCAAAAAAGTTTATGAATTGGCATGAAAGTGATGTCGCACGGTTCAGAAAGAGCGAAAACGAATATCTACCAAATTTCACCGAAAAATATTCACCGGTTTTCAAGATATTAGACTTTTACTTTTGTTTACTTTTTTGGGATCTCCGCTGTTTCTAGCGACTTGATTTTAGAGGTGCGGCGTTTGCGGCAGATGTTGCGCGCAAATAGCATATACCACCGCGTGCTACAAAACGTTTTAGTCAAACATTTAAAAATCGTTAGATATTTGCGCTGACGTCACACATTCAGAGGGGTATTCCTAAGCATTAGCCCCTCTGAATCAAAATGCTGCAATTTTGAAATTCAATATTTCCGATTTAAGGCATTTCTCGATGTTGTGAGTGCCGAAACCGGTAATTGTGAGCCAGGGACCCCATTTTGGCTATCTCAACTCAAATCTAATGTTAAGGTGGGAGGGTCCCTTTAAAGACATTCAAAAGTGCTCCCAACTCCTCGAATTTTTATAAGAGAATGTGCATTTTTCTTTAAATGCCCACATTGAGCTTCGATTACACTGAAACACCGGAACACAAATCAGAAGACGCTTACCTTCGTGCGGTCAATAGGAAATAACGGATTTTTACACTTCACATTTCATACTTTCGCCGCCAGATGGGGTGGCGGCAGGGCCTCGTCTAACATGTTAACTGGGGGGGCAATTGCCTCCCCAGTCGAGCGGATTGCCCCCCCCCCCCAGTGGCCAACATTTGCCCCCCCAGTCAAAACGTGAACTGCACAAAATTACCTTCCCTGCAATACGTTTTTGTTAGGAGTCTTACATGGATTTAACGAGAAACATTATTTGTTCAAAAACTGTTCATACCTACTCCATGACTACGGGAAAAGCCAGAGTTTTATGATCTATAGAGCTGAGTACCTACTGTGATTCTGTGACTTTGCTACTGTGATTCAAGTAGCAAATTGTCAATTGGCAGCTGACCAGTGACCCAACTCGTGTTTGCGCCCCCCCCCCCCAATCAATCAAACGCCCAACATGGATAAGTATGCTTATCACTGTCTGGTGGGGCAATGTGAGGGGGTAACACATTAATCTTAACTCTCGCCCGTATTGGTGTTTTTCCAGCCGCGAACGTATAGGGAGGGAGGGGGGGGGGGGCGTTGGACCTTGCCCCTTGCCGTTTCGCCCCTGATCGAGCTAGAGCTTCGCGGAGAAAACCACCGTGCTGCCCGTCACGAGAGGAAGCCGATGATACCTCATTTTAAGGTCGTAAGTCATCGGTTGACCTTCCAGGTCAGGTCAATGACCCAAAAGTCGGGAAACTCGCGGGACTTATTACAGCGTCGTAAAGGGTGGCTGTTATTTTTAGTCGGGGTGCTGATCACGAATATCATGTTAGTTATGATCATAGATAATGTCTTCATGCATTTAGGCCAGGTCGGGTCAGGTCAGGTCAGGCCAACCAGTAAGGGTTTTGCCGGGTATTCGTAGTAGGTGGCAACCGCCTCTGGCTCTGACAGCTTCAAAACATGTTACGAAGGCACCAAAACTACTTCGTAAATGTTCAAATGGTTGCTAAATTCGAATTCAGCTCCAAAAACTGGCCTAGAATCATGTAAAACTCGAAAAAGTGAACCGAAGTCATCAAAGGTCA